GTGCTTTTCACCCTGTTCCCTCTCCCCCTCCTCCTCCTCCGCCGCCGCCCCGCCCTGACGTCTCTCGCCTCTCCCACTCCCCTAATATCTCCCGTCCTCCTCTTTCGTCCCGCGGGAGCCAACAAATCAAAAACACCCCCAAAGAGCCGCCCCGACTGCGAGTTGTCGAGTCGCGAGTCACTCGCCGAGTAGTCACCTAAAACTCGGCAAACTCGGGGTAAATTAAAATGCATGGTAGGAGAGGGCCACGGGGAGAGGGGGAATTATATACGCACGCGAGGAAAGATTCTCGCGAGGCGACTCGATCTCGAGTCGATACTCCGCTCGATAAAATATCTTAATCACCACTGGGGGAGGGGGGAAATCTGCGAGCAATACGAGTTATACACGCACACAGCTATTCCGCCGACGTGAAATATGCAAACCGAAGGGAAAGGGGGAGGTTGAAGCATAGTTTAGAAAGCGCTCTACTCGTCCCGATTACGAATTTCCGTGGAAACGTACACACGAGAAGTAGAAGTACGCGACGATAGGAAGGAAGAAACGATTTTTCGATTCTGCTCCACAATCGTATTCTTTTCGTCCGATCGCGTGTGGATGGGAAGAAAAGAGAAGAGGAAGAGGAGGAGGAAGAAGAAGACGAGAAAAAGAAAAGAGAAAAAAGGGGCGCGAAAGAAGGAAAGAGACGTGGGATCGTCCAATTAGACGCGGCAAACATTGATAGAAAGAGGGCTGGAGCAAAGAGCGATAGGAAGAAAGCGGTAGAAACGATTTTTCGATGCTGTTCCACAATCGTATTCTTTTCGTCCGCTCGCGTGTGGATGGGAAGAAAAGAGCAGAGGAAGAGGAGGAGGAAGAAGCAGAAGAGAAAAAGAAAAGAGAAAAGAGGGGAGAGAAAGAAGGAAAGAGACGAGGTATCGTCCAATTAGCAGCGGCAAACGTTGGTAGAAAGAGGCCCGAGGCAAGGAGCGATAGGAAGGAAACGGCCGAAACGATTTTTCGATTCTTTTCCAGAATCGTATGCTTTTCGTCCGATCGTAATCGCGTGGGGATGGGAAGGAAAGCGAAGAGGAAGAGGCGGAGGAAGAAGAAGAAGAGAAAAAGACAAGAGGAAAAAGGGGAGAGAAAGAAAGAAAGAGACGTGGTATCGTCCAATTAGAAGCGGCAAACGTTGGTAGAAAGAGGGTTGGGGCAAGGGGCGAGCTTTGAGCCGTGTAGTTTGTAGGTCGTAGCGGTGAGTAGAGGTACGTACCGTTTGACTGAAGCAGGTGTTTAATTTAGCGGTACTTGGTAACACGCGTTGTAGGCTGTAAGCCTAAGGCAGATGGAGAGATGGAGAAGGAGGAGAAGGAGGAGGAAGAGGAGGAGGGTCAGAGGTTGGTAAAGCTCGCGAAAGGTGAAGGGCGGGCGAAGAGAGATAGGAGGGTGAAAACGGCATGCGGAAGGAGGAGGGGAAGGGAAGAGAGAGCCGAGAGAAGAGGAGAAAGAGCGAAGAGAGAAAGGAGGGGAAAGTGAGAGAGTGCTCTTGGCTTTAGCGTGCAGGGTCTGCCTACTCATGGTAATTAAATGCCAGGCAATTTACAGGGCATGCATTTGCCGAAGGCTGGGCCACGCTACCGTGCGAGTCGCTCCTTATGCTCGGTGAAGCCGCACGCTCGTTTGCTCGCTCGCTCGCTCGCTCGCTCGCTTGTTCGCTCGTTCGTTCGCTCGTTCGGTTCTAAATCGATGGAAACGGCAACCAAACGTTTTGCGAGGTTCGGTTGCTTCGAGTGACCACCCTTTCGCGTTCCCTCCTTCTCTATCTCTNNNTCCCACATCCATCCATATATCTGTCCATCCATCCATCCATCCATCCATCCATCCATCCATCCAACCATCCATCCATTCATCCATCCATCCTGTTGAAGCCGGCTTACCGTCCACAAACTATCCGCTTGTTTCCTTACTACGATTAATCCGGGCCAATTTACGTCGGCAAGTAGACCGATCGTCCACCCGTGCGAAATCGCATCGCGTCCACGCGCTTTTCGTCCCAAGCTATTTTTTCCCCTTCCTCTCTCTTCCTCGATCGAGTAAATCGGAGGGCAAAGGACAGGGCGAAAGGGGAAAGGAGAGGCGTTGAATCGTTTTAATCGAACAGAGAGAGAGAGAGAGAGAGAGGGGGAGGACGGTCATAGTTTTCGAGTCGATGCGACGACACGTTCGTAACTTTCCCTATCTCGGAGAGCTTTTATCGCACGAACTCGACGAGCGGCGACGGAGCTTTTTGCTACTCCTCCCCTC